GGAACCCGAAAATAATTCTCGCTCGAAATCGCTGAGAACGCGTTCCAAGTGCTCTCAGTCTTATTCCCAGCAAAATTCAACATGCTCTATTCGATGGTGATATTGTACTAAAGATAACGTCAACTCTTCGTGTACAATTTTGAGAATGCTGATATTTCCCCATAGGCATTAGATCACTCGCAGAGTAACTCCTATCTATATTCGGTCAACACACGTTCCAACTATTCTCATCTCTGTCGCACATAAAGTTCAATATGCTCTATGGAACACTAAAGTCGGATTGGCGATACCCTGAACTATTCGTGTACAATTTCAAAATCACTGATTTTTCCACATGGTTTCTATGCAACCTCCCAGAGTATTTCATGTTCATATCCACTCGGGTCACCTTCAAGGTGCTCTCATTTTCGTACCCAGGGAAACTCACCACACTTTCTCATATGGTAGAATCCGATTAACGATACCTTCAACCATTCATGTACAATTCCAAAAATGCTGATTTTTCCCCATGCACCACATAAGACTTGCAGAGCAACTCCAGTGATATTAGTTCTGAAAGCGATCTCTGTGTTCTAATTTCTGTCGCATGTAGATTGCCACATGCTCTATCAAATAATCAACTCGGATTGACAATATCTCTAAACATTCGTGTATACTTACAAAATCACTGGAATTCCTCATGCGTCTTAGGGAATCTCCAGTGTATTCCATGCCCATATTCGCTCAAGACACGATCTCAGCGGTCCTATTTGTGCTACACATAGAATTTCACATGCTCTATCCAATAGTACAAAAAGATAAACGATATTTGAAACCATTTGTTCACGACTTATGAATATACCAATTTTTCTTCATTGACCCTAATGGTATCGGAGAATAATTCGTGTCCATATCAGCTCAGAACTTGTTCTAATACCTCTCATTAATGTTCCAATTAGAGTTCAACATGCTCTGGCCAATGGTGGAAACCAATTCACAACAGCGCAGTCAATTCCAGTGCAAGTTCCAGCATACTGATTCTTCTCTTTCTTTAGGAAAGCCAAGCAGTAATTTCAGTCCATATTTGGTCTCAACGACTCTCAACTGTTCCAATTTGTGTTCGAAGCAGAATTCAACACGCTCTATCTAATGGTACTGCCAGATTAATCATAGCTTGAACCATTCGTCTGGGATTTGAAAAATATCAACTACTTCCATTAGCCCTAGAGAAACTGAAGAGTAATTTCTTCCCATACTCGCTCAGAAAGCATTACGAGTTTTCTAACTGGTGGTCCAACTGCATATCCACTACACCAACAAGCCAACACTAACAACAACTGTCCGCCCACTAACACAGCACCACAACACACCAACACTAGCAACAACTGACGCGACATTATCATGCCACACCAACACTCCAACACAAGCAACAATCAATTCCACATTAACACACCACAACAACATACCAACACTAACAATAAGACCTAAACAGTTACACAGTACAGTAACATACCAGCACTAGCAACAACTGTCTGCACATTAACGCACCACCACAGCACACCAACACTAGGAATAAACATCTGAACCGCTACACAGTACACCAACACATCAACACTAGCAAACAACTATCTTCACATTAACACGCCACAATAACACACAAACACCAGCAACAACTCACTGCACATTAGCACATTACCACAACACACCAATGCTAGCAGCAAATATCTCCAAATTAACACACCACGACAACACACTAACACTAGCAACAACTGTCTGCACATTAACACAGCACATCAGCACACTACAACATATGATCCTTGTACGATGTCATCAATGTTAGATGTCATCCTTGCATAATGTAACTCTTGCGCAATATGATCTTCTTAGCTGATGAACTCTTGTTCTTGTTTGGTGTTGTAATATCGT